TCAGTTTCTTTCATATTTGCTTTATTCTACTTGCAACTATAACATGTGCTAGATTAGGAAAGCATGTTTAGTTGATTTAACTTGCCTACTTGCTTAAGTTGCCTTGACTGTACTACATGAAGCATGTTAGGCCAGTACTACCCGTTGCTTGTCTTTGTACTTCATTTCTGTGTATCTTCTGGTTGTGATTGCGCATTTACATTGGGACTACGGATGTGGGATTCCGGTAGCTCCCCCCCTTGTTTGTTTACTTTGGGACTACGGGTTCGATTCCCGGTAGACCCCCCTGCACTTTTACTTTAGGACTTCGGGTTAGATTCCCGATAGATTCCTCTGCACATTGATAGTTGGACTACGGGACGGTATCCCGGGAGATCCTTCGGATATACACATATGATGGACTACGGGACGGTATCCCGGGAGATCCACTGGACAGTTGAGAAAAGGACTACAGGACGGTATCCTGGGAGATCCTCATTGTTACCATTGGTATTGAGCTGTACTTATTCTGTGGTTGTTCCGTTCTTTGTGTATTTGCTATTGCCTTGTTCAACATATCTTATCTCACTGCTGTACTCACTATTACTGCTTATTTTCATTCTGTTAATTTATTATTATATTTTAGCCTCAGTAGGGCCCTGACCTTCCTCGTCACTACCCAACCGAGGTTAGGCTTGGCACTTACTGAGTACCGATGTGGTGTACTCATGCCCTTCCTGCGCATGTTTTTCATGTGCAGATCATCCAGGTACCTCTACTCAGGCGCACTATCAGTGAGGCAGGAGGACTACGGAGACTTCGAGGTAGATCTGCTGCGTCCGTAGACCGACGAGTCTCCCTCTTACTCTATCTCTAGTGCTTAGTTTTTCTTCTTCCGGTTGTTAGATAATCTGGAGTTTGGAGCCTTTACTTTTCGCTTCTGTAGCCTGTGTTGCCCGTGAGTTTCCGGGTTTCGGGAATTGTTTTAGGCTTGTGATATTGAGTTGTACTTGCCAAGCGGCATTCAGTACAGTTTCTTTTAGTATTTGATTTGATTTTCTCTACTTTTTCCGCAATTATTATATTTCCGCAATATTAGGCTTACCTGGTCGTGGGGACTAGGTGCCGTCATGACATGTTCACAGTCGGTGAACTAGGGTCGTGACATCAGCGCTCGCTATCACGTCTAGCAACTCCTGGATCTGCACACATGGTGCATGGAGTAATGTTAGTACGCCAACTCAGTTAGTAATAAAAGTAAATAAAGACTGAGCAGTAAGAAACACATAAATCCACGTCATAAAATCACAGTAAGTACAATATACTTTCAAAACAATATATAAATCAATTCATCTTGTAAAATTCCAAATTCAATAAAATCATTTGAAGATATTTTTCCAACAATTTCAGCAGAGGTTCAATGAAGTTAGAGTAAAAGTGATGAAAATCATAAATAGGCCCTCGGGCAAAACATGTATCACAAACCGCCCCTCGGGCATAATATTACTCAGAATCAGCCCCTCAGGCAACCTCACAATCACTCGTAATCAGCCCCTCAGGCACAACACGAATCAAGAACAGCCCCTCGGGCAACCTCATATCACTCACTCAGGGTACCCGCGCCCACGCGCTATAACAAGCCATCTCGTGGCATAATAAATCAGGACCTCGGCCTCTCAAGATGACAATTAGTAACAATATGCTGCGGCGCGCTGCCCGATCCCACAATATCCTCACAACAAAAGCCCTCGGCCTCACTCAGTCAGAAACCTCTCAAGCCACTCGGGCTAACTATAAAACAGGGTGCTCAGCCCAAAATATCATTTTATGCATCAAACGGATTAAATAAGACTGCGTTAGGAAATCAGTAAAACATCGCATGACTGAGTACAGATATTAACTCAAAACAGTGAGGAATAGTAGTAAAAAGCCCCTAAGGTCCAAACAGCTTGGCACGAGGCCAAAATATGGCATTAAGTCCAAAACATAGTAATACTTTCCAAAGCACATAAGTATCAAATACTTTTCAGTCAAATACGCAACTTAATAGTTGCTACGGGACGGACCAAGTCACAATCCCCAACGGTGCACGCCTCATGCTCGTCATCTAGCATGCGCGTCACCTCAAAATAGTGAAACGATGTGAAATTCGGGGTTTCATACCCCTATGACATGATTTACAATCATTACTTACCTCAAACCGGATAAAACTCTAACCCGCGATGCCCTTGCCTCTCGACTCGGCCTCCAAATGCTCCGAATCTAACCAAAATCAGTATATTATCATCAATATACGCTAAAGGAATGAATTCCACACGAAAATTATCAAATCAGACCATCAACCCCGAATTTGACTCAAACCTGGCCTCCGGGCCCACGTCTCGGAATCCGATGAAAATTACAAAACTAGAAACTCCTTTCACTCACGAGTCTATACATACCAAAACCATCAAAATTCGACGTCGAATGACCCCTCAAATCCTCAAATTAAACTCTCCAATTTCAAGCCCTAATTCCCCCAATTTCATCCCTAATTTCTACAAATTCCATGATTAAACAACGGAAAATCATCACATATACAAGTATTAGGGCTCAAGCCACTCACCTTGCTGATAAACCTTTGAATTCCTCCTCAAAATCGCCCTCAAAAGCTCCAATGCCGTCCAAAAATGGTGGAAAATGAACTGAAATTCAGGAAGGAGATCTTATATACTTTCTGCCCAGAACTTCCCCGCGGTCCATAACTCGCTTCTGTGGTGCCGCACATGCGAAAAGTCCATCGTAGGTGCGGTTTTCACTTAAACCTCGAAAATCGCTTCTGCGGTCGACACCTGTCATCTGCGATCTCGCAGGTGCGATCCCATGCGCGCACCTGCGGCTCCTGCCCTTCTCACCTATGGCCGCATCTGCGGCTACTTATGCGCTTCTGCGGGCCTCGCACCTGCGGTCCCCACTCCGCAGGTGCGGTTATGACAACTGAAGGCAATCTTCAGCACTTCCTCAAATCCCATCCTTGATCCATCAACCTCTCGAAATCATCCCGAGGCCCTCGGGACCTCAACCAAACATGCCAACAAGTCACATATCACCATTCAAACTTATTAAAAACTTCGGAACACTCAAAACAACATCAAAACACCAAATCACCCTCGGATTCAAACCTAAGGATTTCCAAACTTTCGAATTCCGCAGACGATGCCGAAACCTATCAAACCTCACCCGAATGACCTGAAATTTTGCACACACGTCACAAATGACATAACGGACCTACTCCAATTCTGAAATTCCATTCCGACCCCGATATCAAGATTTCTACTACCGACCGGAAATGCCAAATTTCCATTTTCGCCAATTCAAGCGTAAATCTACCGCGGACCTCCAAATTACATTCCGAACACGTTACTATGTCCAAAATCACCTAACGAAGCTATCCGAACCATCAGAATTCACATCCGAGATCTTCTACACATAAGTCAACATCCGGTTGACTTTTCTAACTTAAGTTTCTAAATAAGAGACTAAGTGTCCCATTCCACTCCAAGACCACTCCGAACACAAAACAACCAACACCATACGATGAAATACACCTGAACAACACATAAGGAAGCAGAAATGAGAAAAACGAGGTTGTAACTCATGAAACGACCGGCCGGGTCGTTACAAATACCACTACAGGGAACTAAAGTAACAATTTATCTACTTTACTAGTTTTTTAGCAAATAAATAATCTAAACCGGATAAAAATAACAAATCAATTTAATCACAAAACAATCACGAAAATACATACACAACAGTAAAAAGTAACTAATTAACATTTTTTTAACAACTAATAACAATTTCTCTATTTTACTACTTTTTTTAGCACACTAATACTATAGTCCGGATAAAAAACAACAAATTAGTTTAATCGCAAAACAATCACAAAATAACATATAGCACATTAAAAACAACTAATATGCAATTTTTATACGAGTTTTAACAAAAATTAAGTCGAAATACCTCGATTTAAAGTTTTTTGAAAGTTGAAGATTTTGTGATTTGAGCCGAAACGGGCAACCCACTCCGAGATAACGCCTTAGCTAGAACGTGAGACCGAAAACCTATATTTTTTGTGGGACCGGTGGGCTCCAATGAAGCTTTTCTCGTCAACAATAGGAGGGGGGGGGGACTGCTGGATTTTTTAAGTTTTAATGGGGCTCGTTTCTGGTTTGGTGGGGAAGGGAAGGGGACGGTTTTTTATGTGGGTTTAGCGCCTCTTTTAAAAGGGCGCTATACTTAACTGGGCAAACAGGTGTTACGGTATAGCGCCCTTTAAAAGGGCGTTATATTTAAAATGGTCACCATATTTTTTTCCTACACATTTCGGTTCTTTGAGTCCAAAAGAACCACATTTTGGTTCCGGACTCTTCATTGGTTAGTCTTACGAAAGTAACCATTTATAACCAAAGAATAACATAGAGATTTAAGAAAGAGTCACTTTTTGTAAGCGGTGCCATAGTTACATAAATAATATAATAATGATAAATAAGTATTACCTAATACCATTTTTTATAAGTTGAAAGTGATGGCCCAATGATTTAGTTGAATATTATTACAAAGGAAAGTGTAGGTTCAATTCTCCTCAGTCTCAAATTTTTAACAAAAAATACTCGCTAAAAAATGTTCAAAAACTAACCTTTATAAGCCTAAATATGAGCTTGACCATTGGATCAAAAAGTAGTACTTGCAATGAAAGGGTATTATTATTATATATTGCTTCATATTTGTAGAATATTAGTATGAACATCAAATATTTTTTCCGGCCGACGCCGCTTCCACCCACGTGCATCCAGTCCTGTTTGGCACTGCTCCTCTCGCTGTGCTATGAAGAAAGGTGGATAAGCATTCTTGTTACTTAAATATTTAAGTCGATTCCGATTTTTTGACATAAAAAATATGTATTATAAAATTCCAATAAATATTATAGCTTTTATTTCAAAAGTATAATATATTCAATGATACTACCAAAACATCCCCATTTATATTTGAGTGAGTGTAACAGTGATTTCTCTCGACTAAGGTGATTGTCTTTTCTATTTCTCTCTCTGCCAATATTTTGCAGCCTCAACTCAGACTGAAAGATATCAGTATACTGTCATAATCCACAATACTACTACTAGTACTACTATTAATAATAACAATAGCCTTTCACTTCATCCAATCACACCCACAACATCTCTTCATTCACTGTTCCTGATTTTAACTCCTTTGTTTTCTCTTCTTTTCATCTATCCTTCTCCATCCTTTCATCTCCTTCTTTCCTCAGTCTTTACAGAAAAAAGCAGTAAAAAAGAAAAGAAAAATAGACTCTTATTTTCTTTCTTGTTATAGTGATGGCTGAAGGATTTGAACCATATCATGTCCCACAACAAAGTAGAAGAGATAAACTTCGAGTTTTAGTTGATGATAATCTCCAACTCCAAAATTATGCTCCTTATTACGATCCATCAATTATAACATCAGATTTGCCAACTTTTCAAGAAATTAATGGCACCCCATTTCTTTATACACCTCAAAACCTAAGATTTCTTGATCAATCATTCCGTACTAGTGGTGAAGATATGGTGCACAATAGTAATAATAATAATACAAATGGTCAAGGTTTATCTTTGTCTTTGTCATCTCTTCATCACAACAACACTAGAAATCATGAGTTGTCGTCAAAGAGTAGTTGTGTTCCACTTGGACCTTTTACGGGGTACTCTTTAATTCTAAAGAGATCAAGGTTTTTGAAACCTGCACAATTGTTGTTAGAAGAATTATGTGATGTGGGTAGAGAAAAATTAGAAGCTGAAGATTCCAATTTAATGGATTTTCGACATGAGAATATTGTTGTTGATCGACAAGATTGTAGTAATGGAGATGAGCATGGGAAGAAGAAATCCAGGTTAATTTTGATGCTTGATGAGGTAGGTACCTTTATTATATTTAATCCTTATGCTTCTTTTTGCACTCATAATGATTGTAAATGCTTTTGTTAATTTTAATTAGGAGTTAAATGTTCACATTTTCTTGCTTATTTGTGTTTTTGTTTTCTTTCTTAAAAAGTACTGTAGGGGTGAGAATTACTAGCTTGTTTCTGTAATGTAGAACGTTTTCTTTGTTTGGCCATGACTTTGCCACTTGCAAATAAATACTCAAGTCTTTTTTAGAAAGTTAAACATTTAGCCATACAGATACTGGACATTGGTGAAGTATTTATAAACTTGTTGGTGAAATATTGATAAACGAGAAGCATTTCTAGTGAAATAATGATCTGTTTTTTTTTTTCACTTATAGAACTTTAAAATTATTTTCAAGTGATATTCGTTTTCCCACACAACTTTCAACTACTAAATGCTCTTTCTCAAATTCCTCTTCACATAACTTTTGTTAGTTTTCAAATAACCAACATTGTCCACCTACTAAAATTCTTCCGAAGGAGTGCTTGGTACCTATGTTGCTCGGACTCTACGAAAATATGGCCGGATACGTGTCGGATCCTCCAAAAATAGTGCATTTTTGAAGGATCTGATACGGATACGATTATATTTTGAAGAGTCCGCGCAACATAGCTCAGCACTTTTATATCTTGTGATTCTATTCAGCTTTGCCCATGAGAACTTCATACTTGTCTTTCAGTAGCATATATTTGCAATTAAATGGAGAGAGGTTCTTTAAAATGATGAATTGTCGTTCATTGTCCGTACAAGCATGCACTATATTAGATTTGGGGTATTTATTTAGATGCTTAGCAATGACATTATTTGATATTCCACCTGTTTCATATTAGACGAGGTACTTTCCTTTTTAGTCTGTTCCAAAACAAATGACACATTTTTAAATTTGGAAATAATTCAACTTTAAACTCTTTCATTTTACCATTTACCCTTAATAAGAAGTTTTTATTTCCACACAAATATTATGGCCCCACAAACTTTTTACCCCTTAAGCTTTAAGACCACAAGTTTTAAAAGTCTTCTTCTTTTTTATTAAACTCCGTGTCGAATCAAACTAGCTCATCTAATATGAAACGGAGAGAGTAATATTTTAATGTTATTTATGGCTTTGTCTATTTGTATTATAAGCAACCTAGGTAGATGCCTGTCATATAGGCGTACAGGTTCTTATAGATCACTAAGTTATCTTTTCGGAAAAGGTGTTTGAGGGAATATATTGTGTAGATATCAAGATCAATTAAAAGGAATCCATCTAAAAGGGTTTATTCCGGGAGGAATTCTTTTAAAGAAAGTAATAAAGGGCAGCTCGGTGCACTAAGCTCCCGCTATGTGCGGAGTCCGAGGAATGGCCGGACTATAAGAGTCTATATTACGCAGCCTCACCTTGCATTTCTACAAGAGGCTGTTTTCACGGCTTGAACCCGTGATCTCCTGGTCACATGACAGCAATTTTACTAATTACGCCAAGGCTCCTTTTCTTTAGAGAGAAGTAATGGTACCTTAAATTTATTAAAGAACGGGCGATGGTTTCTCAAGTGCCCATTTCTCTCCTCTTTCTTTTAGTCATCTACTCCGATTAATTAATCTTTCTTCCCTACGGATGACATGTATTTATCATGAACTTCGGGTAAAATTAAATTTGTCGTCGTAATTTTAGTAATTTTTAACATATGTATGATACTTCCTCTTAAAAAGTTGGGAATCATTGAGCCGTTGACGATATGTTACATCCCCTACTATTAGTTTTAATATAGATATTGATTTAATTATATAAAATTTTAAGATGACAAGAGGAGAATAGGAATTTCAATGTGTTAGATTTAAGGATTTTGAATGAATAAATCAAATTGAAAAAAAAAAAACTAACTACTTAACTAAAAACAAGAGGGACACTATCCCACAAACGTGAGACTCAAAGCTCTGAGCTCAATTCTAAAAAAAGAAAAAAGAAAAGAACAAGATAGACATGTGATTAGAATCCTCTAAATTGGTTTGTAAATATGCACCCAATAGTCATCGCATCATAGGACTCTTTGAATTTGGGTGCACATAAATTTTAAGAAATACTAACATTATTATACATAGTATAGGGAGAGGAGCATGGGTTCACGTGCCCCATACACCTCGGCATAGATACACCCCGTGCACGTCATGAGACTCATGACCTTATTTAATTGTAAGTGATAGAGGTATCTAAATAATCTTAATTAAATTAATGTTAATTGAAATGAGAGTGTTCTCTTTATGACAGAACTTGTATCATGCTTTTGAATAAGTTCCGTCTGAGAGAATATTCAACTTTACATCAAATTGGATGCAAATATTTGATATCTTCTGTATTTGAAAAAGGAAATACTAGTAAATTAAGCAAGAGTATGAATGATTTGCTTAGTGGCTAAGTTTGTTATTAATTTGAGAATGCATGTAACATCGGAGTAAATTCAATAAGGATTTAACTAATATCCATCAGTAATCTAATGAAAACTTTATTTATTGGTATAATTTACCCTTATATAAGTTAATTTGCCTTACTTTTTAGATTACTAGTTTCACTTATTATAGATGACCGCTTTGTCTACTTTAATCTCTCCGACTTGTTTGGCACTGAGACAAATTGTTGTAGTATTGTAGCAGGTAAAATGCCTTATACTTCAAGTTATTACTAATAATTTTTGCCGCCTGTTGTATTTATCTCTACACTTCCATCGTGTAGGTGTATAAAAGTTAAACTCTTTGGATGAGCTTTTATGGGAAGCTTACTAATCAAATGAAACAAAATATTTGTGATGTTTCTCAATAATTCTCTTTTGATGCTATTGACAGGTATACCAAAGGTATAAGCAGTATCATCAGCAGCTACAAATGGTTGTGACATCTTTTGAATCTGTTGCTGGACTTGGGAATGCAGCACCCTTTGCAAACTTAGCCTTAAAAACCATGTCTAAACACTTCAACTGTCTTAAAAATGCCATCACTGACCAACTGCAATTTACAAACGAATATCGTCATGGTCAAAGAATTTGTGAAAGAGACTCTATCCCTAGAGTTGGAAAAGGACTCTTTTGCCGAAAACCAGATCAAATCCACAATAATGCTGGATTTGCTGATAGGACTCACCCTGTTTGGCGACCACAAAGAGGGCTTCCTGAGCGTGCAGTGACCGTTCTTAGGGCTTGGTTGTTTGACCATTTTCTTCATCCGTAAGTTATATGAATACGAATTAATAGCTACTATCTTCGATTCAGAGGATATAACTTCATATACACTAATAGTGCAACGAATTTTCACACTAATAAGTATCTTTTAGATGATTTGATGGTGAAAAGTCATTTCTTTTCCTTGTTATTGTAGAGAAGGTAAACACTTGTTTTCGATATTCTCTGGAGATCATTCATACATCTTAACGGATGCAATATCTGTCTCTCATAACTTTTGACTCATTATATTGAGATTGTTGTTGCTGCAGTTACCCCACGGACACTGACAAAGTAATGTTAGCCAATCAGACTGGCCTCTCAAGGAATCAGGTTTGTATATCTCGAGTGTTTCTGTGATCGTGAAGGAATTAATATAGGATCGGAAAGGGAATTTAATAAAGATTTGCAAAAGGCGTAGCTAGGATTGTGAGTGAATTATAACATAATGGGAGAGTAGAAGCTAAAAGATATGAACATATTTCATGTATTTAGTGTTGGTTCCAACATATTCACTTTGAATTCTTGTATACACGTAAAAAAATATTTACACCATCAGTGCAGTCTAACTTATTGATTATAGCATGTTAGTTACCGTTTTTATCAGGTTGCTAATTGCTATGCTATACCTAATACAAGTTGTAATGAATCAGGTTTCTAATTGGTTCATCAACGCAAGAGTAAGACTTTGGAAACCTATGGTGGAGGAGATACACATGCTTGAAACCAAGGAAGCTCATAATAAAGCTTCACAAAGGGAGGGACAAAACAGCAACAATAACTCCATTGAACATTTTCCTACGAGTAATTCACATGCAGCATGTGAAACTCCATCTACTTCGGCACCAAGATTACAAGACACTCCACCAAAACGAACTCGAAATGATTTTCCAATGGGAAACACGGATTCAATAAGTTTATCTTATGCCAATTTGTCAACTGGAACCGGTGGCGTGTCCTTAACCTTGGGCCTTCATCAGAATACTGGGATTGGTTTATCGGAACCCTTTCCGATTAATGCAGCTCGACGTTTTGGTATTGATGCAAATAGTGACAGGTTTATGGTTGGTGGTGGATTTGAACAACAAAATGGACAGTTTGGAAGAAATATTGTTGGTGGGCAGTTTTTGCATGATTTTGCTGGTTGAACAAGATTTTGGACTTCATCATTTCATAAGCCTTCAATTTATCAATTAACCACAGAGGCTTGAGTTTGATATAGTCTTCAGAATCGCATGACCATCTAGGGCTGGTCCTTTGGAGGTATATTTCAACCTTAGACACATTAAGTAGAATCACAATTTCTGATGCTTCTTGTTTATAATTGTGATTAAATATTTGTTTATACTTCAGTCTTTTCATCTGTTTCAGGTTATGTAAACCTGTTCATGCATTGTCATTCGTGACTTGTTCATGGTTTTTCTTGAAATCAGGGGAAGAAATGAAATTATTTTAAAAAAAATAATAAATGGAAAAAGAAGAAGACACAGATTTTATCTTTTCTTTGTTTTCAGTTGAAAGTTGTTAAGGAGAAAATTATGCTAGTTTAACTTCTATGCGTCGACAATATAATAAAAATTCTACACTATCAAGTCATTTATAAGTAACTATCCATAACAAGATAGATTAGAAAATCTGAAAATGTAAAACAAGTTACTTACTATACGACAATTTAAAATACATAAAACTCTTCCCATTGTTAGTATATTAGTTAAATTTTTCTTCTTGGTGTTTTCCTCCTTTAGATATAATCTTATACTATTGTACTGTTTGTGTTATCTTTCTGGGTTCCAAACCCCACCTGTGAGACTATACTATATATGTTTGTTATTGTTGTTGTTGGTTCTACGATGGACGCTGCTGTATGCATGGCCTGCCTTTCGTTGTTTAATGTATACTACAAGTTATAAAAGGGAGCTTTGGAGCAACATTAAAGTTGTTTCGTGTAACCTATAAATCACGAATTCGAGATTGTAAAATTAGCTATATATTGATACATCAGGGTAAGTTGCCGATATCAAGTGAAAGTCTTTTCCTAGGTCCTGCATGAACACGGAAAATTTTGTGGGCCGAGCTGTCTTGTCTTTTTATTAGTGTATACTAGTTATGATTCTTTTTCCTCCAGATATAGTGTTACACTGTTCTTTTTATCTTTCTTCTTGGTTAAACGAAGGAAGCTGCTTTATGCATGGCCGGCCTTTGTTCGTTTAGATGCATGTCTTCTTTTTTTTTTTTGGCTGCTTTCTAAGGAGCAATCATTTCAGGCTAGTTTCTATATGTTCTTTAACTAAGTTCTGTGCATGTTGTCTTCTTCCTAGAGAAATTACGGAATCTTTGATATGTGTTGCAGTAGTTTAAAGCTTTTTCCTAGTGGCGGGCCTTTTCTCATTACATAATTGAAAGCTCTATTATCCTGAAAGTAGATATAGCAGTTTCTTTTTTTTTTTTTTAAAATTATTTATCTAATTTAACTTTTTTGGCATAGATAGTTATTATATTGTTATTATTTTATGGCTGAGAATTGAGATGCTTTGTAATGATTTATTTCTGTACAAGGTGCACTATCTTAATAATTTTTGTTTCTTGTGCTGCTTTCTCTTTTTCCTTTTTTTTTTTCGCTTTATTCAGGGCAGTGAAAAGTAAATAGTAGCATAGAGCATTACAACAGCCAGAATTTTGAAGATAAACTTGGAAATGTCGGTTCTGATCGGTTTATGAAATTCATTTGGTAAGGTAAATATTGGATAATGTAATTTACAGTTAAATAATCAAAATTTGATCACAAAATGTTTACAATTTGGATGACGCAGCTACGTAGTTTCAAATCCGAATGTATTTTTAGGTTTGGAAGCCTGTCTAGTAATGTTAAGAAGTAGAGGGCAATGATTCGAATAGGTACGAGGTAGATGGACTACTTTGGAATCAGGGTATAGGTCTAACCATTCAGGGTTATCATAAATCTATCTAATCTTTTCAAAATAAGTTTACCATTATATTGGCAGTTAGATTTGTTTGTCCATGGGTACTGCGACCCTACAAAAGCTAGGTTTATTATATTTATAGCATTTATACAAACAATAAAATTAAAGCATACGCTCTTTTATTTTTGATTGGATTGCCCCTAGCTTTTCGGATGCGTTTGTTACTTCAATAAAGTCTCCACAAATTAATCAAAGAAGATTTATAATATTAGCCACTTACTTTAGGTTAGTAAACAAAATATTCTTGGGTCTAATTTATTTTTGGCATATATAATAGAAATAATATATGTGGGAGAGGAGATACTTACCCGCACTGTGGCATGTATTTCCTATTATGTGAGAACCACCGGTTGGATTATGATCCCGTGGTTGTTCCACATCAAGGCTATTCCTCTAGAGAAATCTGAAGCTGGCACTTGGATTAAATCAGCGAATGACAGTTGTTGTAGTAAAATATCATGATTAGTCATACGTGTTTCAGTAGAGCTAAAACAGATGGAATATTTTCTTGTAGGATGGCGTCCAGGTTACGCTATCATTGGTAGGGGGTTTGTTAAGTTCCCCATGAACGTAGTGTCAGATCCAAGTTTGTTGCAGTAGTTGGACATAGGTTCACCATATATTGTTGTATTGGTGACCATGCACATGACCTTATGTTGAGGGTTTTCCACCAGTTCTGTGACCTGTGGGGGAGGGGAAGTTCTTGTTGTTGAGTAGAACGACTGAGTTGTTGCTTCCATCTCCGGTATTATTTGCTCCGGTGATAGGTTTCCCATTTGCGCTGGTGTGATGGGTGTGTCTTGTGCATGTAGGACTTGACTGAGCGGCAAGGATTGGATATGACACTAGGTCCAGGAGGGAACTTAAAAAACCCCCTACCAATGAAGATTCTCCTATGGAACTTTAGAGGTGGAAACAATTCCACCTTCAGGAGTAACCTAGACGCAATCCTACAAGGCAACATGCCATCTGTTTTAGCTCTTATTGAAACACTTATGACTGATCATGATATTTTACTGCAACAACTGCCATTCTGTCACGACCCAATTCCCATACCGGTCGTGATGGCGCCTCTCGTGAAGACAAGGCCAGCCAACTAACCCAAATTCTTTCACTAACAATTATTAAACATAAATGAATAGAAGATACAACTTAATGGCATTAGAAACTGTTAGTTACTACCCGACCGGGGTGTCACAAGTCACGAGCATCTAAGGAAACCTTAACATAACTACAGGCCAATAAATATATACAAGTAAAATTTCTGGAAAACAAAGGACAACATTCGGTGCCGTGAACACTGGCGGTCACCTTGCTCAGCTACAATAACAATACCTTCAGTCCGCTAATAACCTGCTACCGGATGAACGATACCTGCAACTGCACTCGAGGTGTAGGGAGTAAAGTGAGTACTTCCAACTCAGTGAGTAATAAGAGTAAATAATAACCGAGAGGCAAGAAATCACGTAAGAGCACTCCATCATGCTATATAGGACAGTACAACCCTTTGAGAAAACAGTAAAACCGTGAAAAATCCTTTAGAAAATATCTGGCTCGGTTTAAAAACCTCTTTTGAAAATATCCTTTTCCAACAGTCAAGCAAATGAATGCGTAATCAGATAGTGCAAGTCCGCACATAAGTCAGCCCCTCGGGCACAGCACTCCATCAACAAATAACACCAGGGTATCTGGTAAACAGTGCAAGAAGTAGCATGGATGCCAATGATATGAGAATGCTGAATGTCATGACACGTAGTACAAATAGGAACCAATGCATGAATGCAATGCAATGCACATGACCGCTGCGGCGCGCAGCCCGATCCATTTGGGTACTCGCGCTCACTGGGGTGTGTACAGACTCCGGAGGGGCTCCTACAGACCAAGCGCAATATCATCATAGTATCGCTGCGGCGTGCAGCCCGATCCGTATTCAGTCCAGATCAATGCAAATGAGCCACTCGGGCAATGTCAAGTAATAGCTTTTAACTCAAAACATCAGAAAATGCAATTTAAGTCTTTAAACTTTAGCAATATGACTGCACATTTCAAACCTGTGTTTAACTCAGGACTGAAGTCATTTAACATGCTAAGTGTCATGAAAACAACAATAATAATCCCTAAAGGATTCAAATAATCGGCACGAAGCCCAAAACATGGCAATCAGCCCAAATCACGATAGCATCAAGCAGGTTTTAGTCAATTACGCAGTAAAATCAACAATCGGGACGGACCAAGTCACCATCCCCAACGGTGCTCTACCCCACGCTCATACCGGGCGTGCAAGTCACCACAATACAGCACTATGATGTGCAAATCCGGGGTTTCAAACTCTCAGGATATCATTTACAAGTATTACTCACCTCGAACCGGTGAAATCTCTAGCTCGCAACGCCTTTGCCCCTCGAAACGACCTCCACGCGCGTCAAATCTAACCAAACAGAGCGAATACATTACAATATGCCAAGGGAATAATACCCAATCGAAAACAGCCAAGAAATAGCAGAAATCTCGAAACTAGCAAAACCCGAGCCCCAGGCCCGCTTCTCGAAGAATTACAAAATTCACATTACCGGATTCCTCGTCTCGCCACGAGTCCATACATACCAAGAACTCCCAAATCCGAGCTCAAATGACCTATCAAATCCCAATTTGAAATATCAGAAACTCAAGCCCTAGCTTTACCTCTTTTAATGAATTCCAACCAATTTCCATGTTAAATTTAACAAAATCTCGAGTATTTAGGCCAAGAAACTTACCTCTAATCATTCCTCGTTGAATCCCTCTTCAAAATCGCCTCAATGCTCTCAAAGCTCGCTCAAAATGGTGGAAAAATACATAACCCTCGCGGATGAAATATTATAATAAAAACCCCCTTCTGAACAGGTCTTTTCGCTTTTGCGGTCCTTTTGTCGCTTCTGCGACACCGTTTTTGCGGTTACTTATCCGCTTCTGCGGTTCCTCAACTTTTCCCCAAGACCGCTTCTGCGGTCAACCAATCGCGTAAGCGGGTCCGCTTCTACGGTCCGCTGGTCCGCTTTTGCGGAAAAATCTCCCAGGCCCATTTTCGCTTCTGCGGGCCCCCTCTCGCTTTTGCTTGACCGCTTCTGCGGTCTATTTCCGCAGAAGCGGAAATACCAGGTACCAGATTCTTAAGCAGCCTTTAAACTCCAAATTTCATCCCGTTAACCATCCGAAACCACCCCGAGGCCCCCGGGACCTCAGCCAAAGGCACCAAGATACCCCAATACATCATACGAACTTGCTCCAATCATCAAAACACGCCTAACAACACTAAAATCATCAATTCACATCGGATTCAAGCCTAAGTTCTTCAAGAACTTCCGAAATGCACTTTCGATCAAAAACCCGACCAAACGATGTCCGAATGACCTGAAAAGTTGCACACATATCCAAAATCACTTAACGAAGCTACAGCAACTCTCGGAATTCCATTCCGACCCCCGGATCAAATTCTCACCCATCCACCGGAATTCGCCAAAATACTAACCTCGCCAATTCAAGCCTAATTTTATACCGGGCCTCCAAAATCAATTCCGATCGCACTTCCAAGTCACAAATCATCCCCCGAAGCTAACCGAATCACCGGAAATCACATCTGAGCCTTCTAACTCATAAATCAACGTCCGGTTGACCTTTCTAACTTAAGCCTTCCTTAAAGAGACTAAGTGTCTCATTTCCTATCCAAACCAATTCAATTCAACTATAACTCACTCTTTGCTAATAATGAAACATGAAGAAGCAGTAAATGGGGGAAACGGGGCTGTAATACATGAGACGACGGATCGGGTCGTCACATCCTCCCCAACTTAAACCAATGCTCGTCCTCGAGCGTACCCAGAGTTGTCCTAGAAGCTAACCAACAGCTGAATAACTTTACCAAGCATATACCTGGGGTGATCTCACGTCACCCTATCTCATATAGGTCCGACAACACAGTATAGCCAAAATCTCACAGTCCATTTAAACCATAAACCATAGAACCACATTGCACTTTCCGAAATCATACACAATATCA